TGGGGGACACATGGATGCCTGAGGGGCACATCCTGGGGACACACGGACACCAAAGGACACGCACATCCTGGGGACACACACTTGTGGGGACACGCGTCCCAGTGACACACTCTTGGGGACACACAGACACCTGAGGGGACACATCCTGGTGACACACACTTGGGGACACACACAGACACCCAAGGGGACACATCCTGGTGGCATGCACTTTGGGGGGACACACGGACGCCTGAGGACACACAGACACCGAAGGACACATGTCCCGGTGACACACACTTGTGGGGACACACATCCCAGTGACACGTGCTGGGGGACGCATGGACACCTGAGGGGACACATCCCGGTGACACAAACTTGTGGGGACACATGTCCCAGTGACACACTCTTGGGGACACACAGAGACCTGAAGGGACACATCCTGGAGACACACAGACACTGAAGGACACACATCCCAGTGACACACTTGTGGGGACACATGTCCCAGTGACACATGCTTGGGGCCACACGGACGCCTGAGGGGACACATCCTGGGGACACACACTTGTGGGGACACACGTCCCAGTGACACGCGCTGGGGGACACACGAATGCCTGAGGACACACAGAGCCCGGTGACACCCAAGTGACACGTTTAATGCCCCCACCCAGGGACCAGCCGTGTCCCCACGTCCCCTGCCCTCTGTCACAGCCCCCACCAAATCACCCCGTCCCCACCCCATCCCCTGAAACCCTTAAAAAAAGTACAAAACCCACTTAAAAACAGCGGCCATGGGGTAGGCCCGAGCGGGGACATCCCCACCTCCATGGCATCCCCTGGGGGCTGCGGGTGGGGACAGGGGTGGGAAGTCAGTGTCGGCACCCAAAGTCACTGCCCGGCGCCATTTCTGTGCCGGGGTTGTCACCGGCTCCCGGGAGAGAGACTTACTGGGGTATGGGTGGTCCCCAACCCCCTTTGGGTGCTCCCTGACCCTCATTTGGGTGGTCTGCAGGGTATTTGGGTGGTCCCCAGGGTATGGGTGCTCCCCAACCCCATCCCGGTGCTTCCTCAACCCCATTTGGGTGCTCCCCAACTCCATTTGGGTGCTCCCCAGGGTATGGGTGCTCCCCAACCCCATCCAGGTGGTTCCTCAACCCCATTTGGGTGCTCCCCAACTCCATTTGGGTGCTCCCCAGGGTATGGGTGCTCCCCAGCCCCAGCCAGGTGCTTCCTCAACCTCCATTTGGGTGCTCCCTGACCATGGGTTGGGTGCCACCCAACCCCAGCCAGGTGCTACCTTGGCTATGGTTCTCCCCAACCCCATTTGGGTGCTCCCCAAGGGCATGGGTGCTCCCCAACCCCATCCAGGTGGTTCCTCAACCCCATTTGGGTGCTCCCCAACTCCAAT